AATCATGTGCTTTTCCAAATTTCAGGCAGTTCCTGGAACACATGGGTACCTCTTTGCATGCCTGTTTCTTTGCATTTGCTTTCTCTCAACAGTAAAGCTCTGAATGTCTCAGTCATCTAAAGAGAAAAGTTCTGCCCTGGCTGGTTTGGCTCAGCGATTAGAGTGTCGGTCTGCAAACCGAAGGATTACAGGTTCAATTCCAGTCAAGGGCATGTACCTGGGTTGCATGTCCAATCCCTGGCCCCAGATGGGGTTGTACGGGAGGCAACCAATCGATGTGTCTCTCTCACATCGATGTTTCTTTCTCTTTCTCTCTCTCTCCCTCCTTCCCTCCTCCTTTTTCTAAAAATCAATGGATAAATATCTTCAGGTGAGGATTAACAAAATCAAACAAAAAATAAAGAAATAAAAGTTCTCCTGTTTCTTTAAAACTCATTTCATTGGTCACCTACACCCTTCCACGAAGCCCTCCTCTATCTCTCTAGACTTCAAAGTATTGATAAAATGCTTCCTCCATAGTACTTGCATCTTATAGTGCTACTTTAGTGCTCATCAGACTACTAGTGAGGAGCACCTGCCATTATAGGGTGAGACAGTGATATAAATAGGAAAATTCTGAGCATATTAGTCTACAGGGAGCCCCAATTCATCAAATGTGCTCATATAAATTGAACAGATTATGCTTTGTATCAAACAATATTTTCTTTAGTAAAGATGATTACACTGAAACTGCAGCTCTATCACAATTGCCACAAGAAATTTGGCATGAAATCAACACTATTTCACTCCTGAAATACAAAATAGGCCCTTAGCAGAGAATTGACCTACAGAATAAGCACCAACTCTGTAGATGCCATTTCACTCGGTTTATATGCACACAGTGAGCTAATAAGTTTAACTAACTCTCATTTTAACACTGCTCCCTATGAAGCAGTTAACTTTAATTACCTTTTAGTCACTTATGCTATGAATCAGTCTTTTAAAAAAAAAAAAAAAGTGTCCCCTCTTCTGAGCTGAGCCAAAATACCATGCCCTGGTCTCTAGCCTGTCCACAGGAAAACGTGGGACACCAACCATTTGATTCATCACACAGTCACACTGGGTCCTTCTTGATCTTACCTACAGTATGAAAAATAAAAAGATCTGTTTCTTTGAATGTATTCCTTTTCCTAACTCCAGGGCCCCATTTGTCTAACTTAATCCAGATGTTCATATCACAGTGGTGCTTAGTATAAGGAGAGGCCAGCTAAACTGTGTTTTATGCTGAAAACTTATACTCATCTCTCTTACTTGATAACAGTAGAGTTATACTTTTGGTGTATATAGAACTTATCTAAATATACCTTTGTGCACACAGCCGCAAACATACAAATTATTTTCTCTTATAAACTTAAAACCTGGAAGTACATCACTAATTGGCCACGAAGCTTTTAAAAGTGTTCCTTTCTAGCTCTGGCTGGTTTGGCTCAGCAGCTAGAGCATCAGCCTGCAGACCAGAGAGTCCCGGGTTCGGTTCCCACTAAGGGCACGTACTTTGGTTGCAGTTTGTCCCCGGCCCTGGTTGGGGTTGTGCAGGTGGGAGCCACTCGATGTGTCTCTCTCACATTGATGTTTCTCTCTCCCTCTCTCTTCTTCCTCTCTCCCTCCTGCTCTATCTGAAGATAAATGCAAAAAAATAAAATAAAATAAAAGTGTTCCTTTCTAGGGAATAAAGTGTTTTCTTGTTTATCATAATCTAGTTTTGCCCATTTAGCAAAATTAAGTAACACAAAATTTTTAAATCCAAGAATAATCCAAAAATATTTCTCTCAATCTCTTCTCAGAACTACTAATAAATATAATGATTTTAATTATGCCAGGCTTCTTGGTTTCTCCCCTAGGTACTACAGTTTAAGTCCCATAAAAGAAATCTCTGTAGTTAAGTACAGAATGTGGCAAAAGTAGGTTTATAGTTGTGAGTACACGAAACACAGAATTTATTCTTGTATTATTCTTTATTATTGCATTATTTTCCATATGAATAACTGTAAACCTACTTTTGACCCACTCTCCGTATATATATTTTTTCCAAAGTCTGGAAAATTGTCCATGTATACCAAGGAACATTCAAAAAAATGTTAACAGCACGGAAGAATTTAGTGTTTAGTGGGAAAAATTACGTCATGAGAGAGTGAGCAAGAAGGAATAGAAAAGTGAGGAAGAAAACACAACAAACTGAAAGCATAACAATTTGAAATCCCAAGCTAATGTGCAGTAAACTTTTTTTTTTCATTTTCAGCTCTTCTAGAAAAAACTATTGGCATAAGATATAAAAAATTTAACTTTAATCACATAATATAGAGATGAGGTGGCAGATGAAAGGGGTTTGGAAATGTTCTTACCAATACCTTAAGGCTGGTGTATAATAATGTTTCCTAACCACTAAGCCCTCCGGATATGAAAAGGTATTTTATAAATAAAGAGATGAATGGTCACACAAGCTAGGAAATTGCCAGCTTTAACAAAATTGACCAGGTTTCTTTACTGTAGGACTTCAAAGCCTTTCACAGGCTCATATGCACTAGGAATCTCCCAGAGCAGGTACAGAGGTAGCAGCCTGCAAATGTGTCTTACTACAGAGCCCTAGTAATGTCTCCCAGAAGACTGTTTTATCACAAGTAGTTTGGGGAAGACAAGAATATACAGGTAGTTAGGTAAGTTTTTCCTGGCGCCAATATTCATACTAAAGACAACCCTGTGTTTACTACCCAGGACCTCCTCTTTTGAATGTGTGCCCCACTTACAGTGAATGAAAGGTGGAGAGTGGGCGGAGGAAAGTGGCGTGGGGGGCTTTCTGCCTGCATTCTTACACACCTGTTTCTGTACTCTAAGCCCTCCATAGTTAGGCAGCTGAGTTGAAGGCCTGGGCTCACTGTTTGCATTGTGATGGGAAATCTAGTAGACAAAGAAGCAGTCTCATACATTAACAGTGACCTGAGAATTCCCAGTTCCTGTCAGATCCTGGGTCACTAAGCCCCAAAGCAAGCAGGAAACCCACCTCAAGCAGCTCAGATGAAGACTGCTGATAGCAGGAGCACATTTCACAACCAGGAAGTAACTATTGGGTCTTGCACAGCAGGAGAAAGATAAGGAGGCTGGTCACAAAAGCCTTTTCAGACAGGTCTTCCACTCAGTCATCCAGGTGGCTCCTAAACCCGTTTGAAAGCAGCAGCTGGCAGAATGCCCACTAGTGTTGCTGTGACAAAGTCCAGGTTTGCTGTTGGTGCAAATCCAGAGTCTCATCTCATCTAGGTCCTCCTTAGGGGGATGTGGTGAAAGCCTCAATTGCCAGTGCAATGAATCACTGTCTTCCTGTATACAGACACTCTGACTTCAATGATGGGGAGGGGAGGGACCTGTAGGAGATTGACCCCAGTTTAGGAGCTGACGCTACTATTTACTAGCTATGTCACCTTGGTTAACCCCTGTATGTTTCAATTTACTCATCTGTTAAAAAAAATAATAATGTTAGTACTGATGCAACAGAATTTTTCTGAAGATAAAAGAATGCACTGAAAGCACTTAGCTTAATGCCTGATCTATTATAGATGCTCAAAATACAGGGCAAATAATTAAACGAGCAGAAATTATAACCAGGAAAAGGCTTAGGCTGGAACTAAAGCTTGGCGTTGGATATACAGCAGAGACTCAAAAACGACTTATTGACTGATTAACCAACATCTCTCTCTTTTTTTTTTAATCCTCACCCGAGGACATTTTTCCATTTTTTGTTCAGACAGAGTGGGAGGGAGGGAGAGAGAGAGAGAAACATCGACGTGAAAGGGACACATCGAGTGGCCGCCACCCGCATGACCAACAAGGGCCGGGGACAAACTGCAACCGAGGCACGCACTCCCAGCGGGAACCGAACCCAGGTCTCTCTGGACCGCAGGATGCTCTAACCGCTGAGCCAAAACCGGCCAGGGCTAACCAACATCTCTTAAAGCCAATGCTGGAGTATTGGAAAAGGAATTCTCACTTGTTTATATGTGATCAGGAAGAACAAGGCTTTTATTACACTTCAAACTGAAGCAGGAAATCAATATCTCATGGTATTTACATCTCAAGTTTGAGTGGATGCCAAAGACCATCTAATTCTCTAAAAGGACAAGCAAATGTTAAAAGTGGTTTCAGTGACTCAGTGAGTCCTGAGACGCTTGCTCCATGTGGAAAGGTGTGCTCTGAACTACCCAGAGTAATAAGGTAGAAACTGAAGGTCCTTATAGAGAAATTGCCTGACATTTTCCGCCAAAAGTCAGAGAAGGTCTTTAAAGATAGGAAGTTTCAGAAGCAGCAATTAATGAAAAGAGGATCTGTGTCACATCCTTTACCACACTCCACAGATTTGCTGCTTGCTTCTCATTTTCAACTCTACAGAGAATGGTGATGAGTAAGGCCAGAGTAGCACATGTAAATAAAGCAGAATAAATTCACAGGTGAAAGAGATTTTGGTGACACGCTTTCCCAACTCCTGCTGTTTCAGCTTCTGTGTTCCAAGGGAAAATACCACCCTAAAGAGAAAGCACCGTGGGCCCAAACCACAGCACTAACCCCAGGTTAATAAGCATTTATTTTTAGTTTATGCAGAATTAACACAGCTCTTAAAATACTGATGAAACTACAGGCACCAAGACTGCACATACTATTCAGAAAAACCATGCCCCCCCCCCAGTTGGAGAAAAGCCCCGTCTACTACTCTTTCTCGCTATGAAAATCACATGCAACACTCTACAGCCAAGAGTGTGCTTGCATATATTTGCTTGGTTGCTTATTGAGGAAACTTTCCCTTTTCCACATGAGGTTAGGGAATTAGCTAGATTAAAAAAAAACTTTCAACCACTCTGCTCTCTTGGGAGCCTACTGGTCAATTGTGTGGTGATCCATCTTCACTAAGGAAGCACAGTGATAGGACAACTTCCCTACCACCCAATAATTTACAGAAATCAACATATGTCTCCTACCTGTGATGGACAAGGTCTTGGAGGAAGTGCAGGTGGTGGAGGTAACAATCCTGACTTGGTAGCTGAAAAGAAAAACATATACTGTTAATGACCACCAAAAACAAAACAAAACACTCTTCCACTTGTTAACTAGGAATAGCAATGGCATTTAACATGTTTAAGATTTTAAAATCCACCTGAAGGCTTAACAAAAAGAGTACATGCTTTTTCATTTCTATCCTACCCAATATTCAAGTATTTATATAAGCTGTTGTGATTAAGAAAGTGTAAAATGGTAAGGAAAAGACATCCTTTGATCAAAAACCTGGAACCCAGCACACAAAAGATGGTCGGTCCCTCATTATCCTGCTGTTAATTTTTTAGTTTCAAATAATCTAGATTCTTTTTTCTCCCTAGTTTTGGGCTATTACACTACTCACTGGCTCAGCAAGTAGGCTGCAGAAACTAAGAGAGCCAGCATCCTGAGGCAACTAAACTGCCCTGTGAGTGAGTGGGTCTGGAAGCAGTAGGGGAGACTGAAAGTGATGGACTAAAATGATATTTAGGGATTCTTCAAAGATCAAAATTTCCTTTTCTCTCCCTAATCCTTATTGTCATGGATAATTAAATCTGTTTCTAAAAAAAGCTGGCCTCATATGAAGGATCTTTTGAAAGAAAATTTCAGTCTAATTTTTTTTTAATTTTGTGAGATATAGAGGAAATTTTAGTTAAGCCAAAACGTTTGAATTGCAACTTAATGAAAATAAACATCTGCTATTGAATTATAAACAAAGCTCATAATCACAAAGAAATAAGTTTATTATTACACACTGGCAAGTTAAACCACATTCTTTACAAACTCCTTAGAAAAGCACAGCATGCTCTACATAAATATATAATTTATTTGCAAATCTGTAATACGTGTGCTAATATTTGGACAATTTTCTATGCCTTAAAAATAAATCATAGCAATATGCCAAGAACATAGAAGTTTTTGTAAATCACTTTTGATTTGTCCTAGCTACATCAGACAAGCTGGAAGATAGAGTTTGGGGCTTTTCACAAAGGTAACTCAATAATTTCATAGAGATTTTCATTCTGAGCCAGTACACAAATATGGTTCAACCATGTGGGCCCATCAGTGATTTCTCTCAATCTGTCTTTCATTAAAATTTATGAAATACATCAGTGGGTCAAAACTCCAAAGGTGATGAGACCTTGAACAGCCTTCAATAACAAAGCACGTAGAAGCAGAGAATCACAGAAACCTCAGGAATTAGCCATCTCAGGGCCCCTACTCTATAGGTCCTTATGGACCGGGCCTTTAAATTACCAGTTACTTTAAAAACAAAATGAAAACACACACACACAAAATCTATACATGTTTTTAAGGGAAAAGGCTTGCACCAGAATAAACTGTTAAAATAACCCTTTATTAACAAAAGAAGACTAAGAAATACCCTCATTTAATTAAACTGACATCTGCTTCCAGCCAAGATGGAGTAAGAGACCAGATTTCCTCTCCCATTTGAAACAGCCCAAAACAAACATGTTTTTCTTTTTATATAAAATAGCAGCTTTCAAGACACTAGGAAATCATGCAACAAAAGACAGTTATCTCTGAGAGACAGGAAACAAAGGTGACTGACTCTACTTACTGCCCTGAGAGTTACTAGAAAAGGGACTTACATCCAGATTTGTGTCTAATTCCATTTTTACCACTATTTAATTTTAAAAAGCAAATTATCTATTTTTGTAAAAGATGATATGAGGGACTGTTTTTGAGCATACTTTTGAATAAAATTATATCACCTACAAATATTCAATTTTGTTTCTTCTTTTCAGTACCTTTTTTTGTTTTGTTTTGAGCTTACCTGGCTAGAATATCTACTGTAAAACTGAATTATAATGGTGATAAGGGTATTCTTGTCTTCTTGATCTCAAAGATAAGGCTTTCACTATTTCTCCATTAAGTGTGGCATTTGTTGTAGGCTTGTTGTGGATCACCTTTAATGGGTTATTAAAATTCCTACCTATTTTTATTTTGATATTTTTTTCATGATGATTTGTTGAATTTTAACCAAAGACGCATCTCCATCCATTGAGATGATGGTATAATTTTTCCTTATAATTTCTTAATATGATAAATTACATTATGAAGTTTATAAACACTAAAACACTGTTGCAGACCTAGGAAAATCCCAACTGGGTAGGGTTAAATTGGTTGCTTAGTTCATTAATTTCCAGGTTTCTTCTTTTCTAACATAAGCATTTAGTGCTATAAATGTTCTTCCAAGTATCTCTTTAATAGAATCTCATAGGTTTTGATATATGATATCATTCAGTTTTTTAAATGTCCTAATTTCCATTACAATTTTTATGGTGTTACCTTCTGTTTGAAGTTCATCCTTTAGCATTTCCTTTATTGAGAGTCTATTAGTAGCAAGCTTAGGCAGTTTATTTGACTGTAAAGTCTTTATTTTGCCCTCATTCTTGAAAGATGATTTTATTGGGTATATAATTCAACACTGATTTCTCCCAGCACACTGACAGTAACATTTCACTGTCTTCTGGCTTCCGTCATTGCTATTGAGAAGTCATGTGTCAACAGAAATCACTGTTTTTTTGGTAGGTAGTCTGTCTTCTCTCTGGTCACTTTTAAGATCTTCTCTTTGTTTTTGATACTTTGCAGTATCAAACTTTACCCTGTCTGCATAACCTGCTGAGCTTCTTTGGAATTTTAGAACCATGTGGTATCCTACTAACTCTGGGAAATTCTCAGTGATTCTTCAAATAGTCTCACTTATTTCCTCCCATCTCTCCTTCTGGAGCCTAGGTAGAAAATGGATTCCTCCTCTATTACTTCTGGCAGAAATCTGAAGGCACTATCAACTTGGGACCACTTTAAACTAAAATCTTGGCTTGATACTGTGTAGGATTCCTAGTTTCTACTGTCGTGAGATTTTGTTAAATGTCCTATAGTATGACTTTCGAGTATAGATAGTAGTTTGAATATTTGCAGCTAATCTCACTCTTACCTCATTAACACAACAGTGAAGAGACTATTCTCCTGTTTAAATTTGGAACTGAGAAGAGAGATGAATAACTGACAGCTGAATGAGCAGTAGAGTAACCAATTTGTGGCAGAGAAGGCTCCTAATTTTCAAGAACTGGGGACATCAAACTCCTCTGAAGTAAGAACAAAATAAAGCAATAAAAATTAAATTAACTGATAGTGGATCATATTTCCTACCCTTCAGGAGGACACACCTTGACAAGCCCCTTAAAGATCTGGTTCTAGCTGTGCCTCATGTTGTTTTTGGCTTCAGGATCCCTGCTCCTGTGGTCCCCTGCCTGTAGTGGCCATTCCTTACCCCTACTTCACCTGGATACCCCAGAATATAGTAAGTGACCATTAAATATTTGAACTAATATATGAAAGAACTATAGGATTATGCTCCATCTCTATATCTTTTTAAAAGACTGATTGAAACAGTTTAGGAGTAGTTACATCCTGAGATTTTTCTCCCATATTCTGCCCAGTTTCAGCATGCTTCCCACTCCAAAAAACTAGAAATATTTTTCTTCTCCAGGGAGGGCACAAGGCCCAGATGAAGGTATGAGGGCCATACTGAAAACAGGAGGATTAGTAAGCGTATAGACTCTGGATGCTGAGGCTCTTCCAGCCCTCTTCCTCTCTGCTCCCAGACTGTTACATCTAGAGAGCAGAAGAATGTGCTCCAGGAAATTGCATCAGCCAAGAAGGAAGATCTAGATAACAACATCAAGAGATCTCCAACGAGATGGCTGAGCAAGATCATTCTACCATGAAGCCCCAATATGGAAAGTCACAACCATTTATTCTTTTATTCCAGTCAGCTTTTTAATCCCCATTCTAAAATATAAGCAGATGATGACGTATCACCAGGTATCAGCAGAAAAATTTATAATCTAAGAACAATAAAAACAGAATAAAAGTAATGTCAGGAAGAAGGGAATGTTCATTCACTGCTGATTAAATTGTAAATTGTTCAGCTTTTTGTAAAAACAATCTAGCAAAAAAAAGAAAGAAAGAAAGAAAGAAAAAAGCAACCTAAAAGAAACAGATTAAATCTATACTAGGAGAAAATTTTAAATATATACTATTAAATCTGTCAGGATGATAATTCAGTTCATTCCAGAAATATTTAAACATTTACTATGTACTAGACACTGTTTGAAATGCTGGTAAAATACCAATGAAAAAATAACCAAGGAAGAAAATCTCTACCCTCATGAAACTTACATTCTACTGAGAAGACAAATTAATGGGGTCAGAGTTAAGAATGAAACTTTAAATAGAGTCATCAGGGAAAGTCTCAATGAGAGATAGATGTTATTTGCAAAGATGAAATAATGGGATGCAATTGAAAAATAGAACATTCAAAAAATTAAAAAGAGTCTGGCCAGTGTGGTTCAATGGTTGAGCATCGACCCATGTACCAAGAGGTCACTGGTTCGATTCCCGGTCAGGGTGCATGCTCAGGTTGTGGGACAGGTCCCCAGTGGAGGGCGTGCAGGAGGAGGCCAATCGATACTCTCTCCCATCAATGTTTCTATTTCTCTCTCTCTCTACCTTCCTCTCTCTCTAAAACCAACAAAGAAAAAAATTAAAAAGAGCATTTGGAAATTAAAAACATAACAGCAGAAAGGGGAAGCTTAAAGAAAAGTTATTTCCATGTCTAATTGAAATTTATTAGATGCTCAATGCAAAGAACATTTCTGAGTTGTCTTTGTATCTTTTTTTCCTGCATCTAATATGTCACCTTGCCCATGGTAGGTGCAATCAGTCATGAAAAGTGTGTGACTGGTACATGTGAGGCACTGTGCTAGGCAATGGGATGTACAAAATGAAAAGATGTGATTACTGCTAAGTCAGTACAAGGAGTGGGGCTCACACATTTTCTTTAGGAGATGTTGGATGTAAAGGGAGTTGAAGGCTTATGGGACATGTAGTATAGGTACAGTTATAAAATATCAAAATGTTAGAGATCTTGAAAGCCAGCATAACTATAGACCTAATCCTGTAGATAAAATTTTTAAT